AAAAAAACATAAATATTTAAATTTCATAACATTATATTACAAATTAAGTCTATAAAATTAGAATATAAATAAGATATATGGGTTAGAACCCTCATGCCCAATACTTATCCCATACTTAACATATGTGCATTTTTTATACCTAATATTTAATTGTCTTTTCATAAATATAGATAAAATATCTATCTAAATAAGTCAAAAATACCTACAAAAATCATATATATCCGTCCCTGATGCTCAGCTCTACTGATGTGTATGCCAACTCGTGAGTCCAATATGTGGTCAATTCCCAAGTCCAAGGCTGTTGATCAGCTTTTTTATTTTTTTGTTATGGTCATGCCAGTCTGGTGTTGGGTTGTTCTGATGACAGTCCGTACCCAAAAAGTCCTACATAATGGATATTTTACAAAATACATTTTCCTTTAAATAAACTGTTGTGTGAACAGGTGCCGTGTGTGACAATCCGACGAAAATAAGTCCCATAAGAAAGCCCACGTTAAAAATAAAAATAAGGAGCCAAGCCCAAACGATTTTTGGGCTGACTAAGGCAACTTAGAGTGGGCAGCCCCCTTCCGAAATCCACTGTACAAAACCCGCCTGCTATGTATAAAGGAATCTAGGGTTAGGGTTTTATGTATTTTAGTGTGTCTTTCTCTCCCAGTAGCCGCCCGCTGCAGTTTGAGTCCGTCGGGAGAAGAGGAGGAAAATGAAGACCATCTTGTCGTCGGAGACTATGGACATCCCTGATGGGGTGAACATCAAGGTGAAGGCGAAAGTGATCGAGGTCGAGGGCCCGAGGGGCAAGCTTATCCGCAACTTCAAGCACCTCAACCTTGACTTCCATCTCATCAAGGACGAGTCCACAGGCAAGCGCAAGCTCAGGATCGAGGCCTGGTTTGGCTCCAGGAAAACCAGCGCTGCCATCCGTACCGCGCTTAGCCACGTCGAGAATCTGATCACCGGTGTCACTAAGGGTTACCGCTACAAGATGAGGTTCGTCTATGCTCACTTTCCCATCAATGCTTCCATCACCAATGGTAACAAGTCCATCGAGATCCGCAACTTCTTGGGCGAGAAGAAGGTATTCTTTATTTTCTTTTTCTTTTCTTTGCATAATTGATACATTTGTTATATGCATGTTTATATTGGTATGAAATCAGATTTTTTGTATTATTCCTTTTATTCTTATTCAAGAAAGCAATTTGTTAAAACATTTTCAATTTACAAATGGAAATCTGTATTTACATTGACATGGGTCAATCAAGCTATCCTTTATAAATGAATGTGGTCTTCATTTCATAAAAAAAGAAGCGTCTTTTTTCACAATTTGTTTTTCATTTTCAAATAAAATTACAGAGAAAATTTTCACGGTTATGTAAACTTTCTTGTTTACCCTGTGCTGCGTATCCCCATTATTTTGTTTTATTCGGGTTTAAATCGGGATAGCCTAGCCTAGCCATAAGAAACAAGATTATATTCATAAACTTAGTTTTGATTCCAAATATTTCTTTTTAATGATCTTTAGGTCCGTAAAGTGGAAATGCTTGAAGGTGTTTCTATTGTTCGATCTGAGAAGGTTAAGGATGAAATCGTGTTGGATGGAAATGATATTGAACTGGTGTCACGTTCAGCTGCTTTGATAAACCAGGTACGATTACTCTGTGGGAGCACTCTTGTAGACATTAGTGCATACATGTGTGCTTGTGTCGTTGTGTGTACCCATACACTTTGCATAAAGGCGCTGTCAAAATTCATACTTCTTGACCAATCTGCATTTGTGTGTCTATGTGACCACGTTAATAATATTTTTCAGGACTTTACCTCATTTTCTAACTGTCTCAATTTGTTTTGAGCAGAAATGCCATGTCAAAAACAAAGATATCAGGAAATTCCTTGATGGTATCTACGTTAGTGAGAAGAGCAGAATTGCAGAAGAAGAGTGATTGTTTTCCATCAACTGTTATAGTGCTGCTACAATTATATGTTTCAGTAAAACTGTTGGACTTTGATTTTTCCTTTTCTTTATCTCTTTTTGGATTTCAGTTGCTGAGAATGAGAATGTTGTCCTTTTTATTGTCTGGAAGATTTTGGTCATCTACTAGCATTATAATGTTGGTTTTAAATCTTTGTGTTAGTTATTGTCCGCTTTATATTAGCAGTATTCATCTACTAGCATTATGGTGTTGGTTTGTGTTAACTTTTGTTACACACCTTAAGAATCCTCATTTGAGGTCATGGCATGGCATTTGGGCGCAAGTGAGCCACTTGCTTTGTTGAAAGCAAGATGGAAGAATGCTAAATGAATGATGTGCCTAGTGTAGAAAAGAATGCTTAAATGAGGTTTGAAATCCCAACCAAAGAGACCCGAGGACGGGTGTCGAACCACTTAGCCACTATGGCTGGTGTTCAGTTTAAACATTTATAGTTTGATTGGTTCCGAAGGAGGAGAAATTTCGGTTTGGATAACAGAATTTACAAGTGGGAGGAGGGATTTTACTTTAATTTTCTCTACATTTTACCATATCGAAAGGGGGAAAGGTATGAAAATCGAAGGATAATGTCTCCTCCTTTGCCCTCCTATTTCCTCAAGTCAAACAATGGGTTGGTTTGAGGAAATATGTGATTTTTTTAATCAATTATTAAAATATAATATGTTCTAGTAAATTAAATTTATATATTTATGTATAACAACATATTTATCCGTTAAAATGATCATTCCAGAGTAATCTCAACAAGCTTTGAAATGAAAAGGTCACATTGAAAATTCTATTAATGCAAACCTCGGCCACATCTATTTTAAATAAAGCTCTCTTTCAAACAAGAAGATCCTGCCACTCACTTATTTCACCATAATAAATACTTCAACACAGTACATAAAGATCCTGTCATTCACTTATTTCACCATAAATACTTCAACACGGTACATAGTATGAGCACTAGGACAGCTACTACATCAAACCTTATGCATGCCATTCATCCATGAGAAACAACACGAAATCTGCTGAAGATAAGATCTTCATTTTACGGGTGGGGTTATTGCCACAGCCACTAATGTTAATGCCACAGCTTTTTTTAGTTATTTGACTATTATACCCCTCATTTGAATCCAACTTGCAGCAGTCACCATCTTCTCCGCGTGGGTTAATGGTCAAATAACTGAAAAAAGCTGTGGCATTAACATTAGTGGCTGTGGCAATAACCCCACCCTCATTTTACCACCAGGATTTTACTTGAGGGACTTCTCAATGTCAATCACAAACCGATACTTGATATCCCTCTTTATTAGCCTCTCAAGAGCTTCATTTACGTACCCAATTGGAATTACTTCAATATTTGGGTAAATTTTGTGTACAGCGCAGAAATCGATCATTTGTTGGATCATTTTTGTACCACCTGTAACACTTCCGGCCAACGATCTCAAACCTGTTGAAGGTTCAACTTTAAGTTGTTAATTTTGTAGACATACTAATGGAGATAAACTGTAAGCAGAGTGTTGTTAAGGTACCTAAATTAAGGCTACCAGGACTAAATTTTATCTCACTTGGAAACCCAACAAGGGAATAAATCCCACCAATTTTCAAGAGTCCCAAGTAGGGATCAAAGGGGTGATCACCAGATGCCGTGTCAATTATGAAGTCCAGTGATTTAGTTAGGGCCTGCATCCAAGAAAATTGGTTCCAGAAAGGTCAGAGACTTGAAGACATGAAAGATCAGAGGAAAAATGAGCTTTTTATAACATGGCAAAAAAAATTGCTTACCTTCATCTGCTCTTGGTCAGATGAGATAACAAAGTTGTCTGCACCAAGGAGATTCAAGGCTTCCTCTTTCTTAGATATGCTTGTGCTGAAAACTATTACTTTCAATCCAAAAGCCTTACCAAACTTCACTGCCATGTGACCAAGACCACCAAGCCCGATAACACCAAGAGATTTGCCAGGTTGGTTCATGTTATGGCGCATCATTGGCGAATAAACAGTAATTCCAGCACAAAGCAATGGTGCTGCTGAAGCTAGAGGATAGTTATCGGGTATTTTGAAGCAGTATCTGTTAATTCAATACCAAACATGGTATCTTATGGACGATTTATTTGAATTTCTCAAGTATAAGTAAACAATAACAGAACCTCAGAAGTAACTGTGGGGTATAAAGAGCACAAACACAATAACAATAACAGAATGAACATGATGAAAAATATGGATATCATTGAACGTTAAAAATAGTTTACCTTTCATGGACAACTACATAGCTGGAATATCCACCTTTTGTGATGGTTCCATCCACATCAACACCATTGAAGGTCAAAACGCACCCTTTTATGCAACAATTTTCTTTATCATCATTGCAGTACTCACAATCTCTGCAGGAGTTGACAATAACTCCCACTCCAACATGATCACCAACTTTGAAGCCACGAACGTTGGAACCAACCTCTTTAACAATTCCAACAATTTCATGTCTGGTATGGAAGTGATAAATAAGTACAGATATATCAGTTAAATAATTTTTTTTTTTTAACAAAATTGAAACCGACAAGTAGGCATTTCATACCCAGGCACCAAAGGATATCTGGAGTCTCCATGTCCATTTCTTGTCCAAATAACATCAGCATAACAAACTCCACAGTGTGTAATTTTTAGGGAAACATCATCAACTCCAACGGCCCTGTAGGAAGCTGCAGAATATCAAACAATGTCCATTTTTCTCTCCTTAATTAACGCTCGAAAGTTGTACTCATGTCATAAATTGAATCATCATTATTAACCGACTACTGCATCATTTTGACTGGCTAATTACCCTGCCGATTACTAGATGCTACACATAAACGGCATACATGCTATTTCACAAAAATAGGAACAAATCTTTTGCCTGATGAAGAACAAGGCCACACAGAACCTAACACTAAATTTGTTGTTTAATATTAACCCTGCTACTGGCAGTCCCACATAAAACAATGGATAAAACTGTGTAATTTCTACCAAAACAAAAAAACAGAGTTCCCGTGTTTTCCCCCTTCCCCTTCAACAAACAACTTAGTTCAAAATGAAAATTTATCAAACACACCTGCGGCTAAATTTGTAGGGGGAGAGAACTCCAGAAGGATCTCGGGCCGCCCAGGCAAGGCAATTCTCAGTAACCCCATCAGAAGCCATGGTCAACTAATCTACAATTCGGGTATTCAGACTCAGTTTTCTCAATATGAATTGAAAAAAAAAAAAAAGGAAAAAAGAAGAAAGAAAAGAGAGAATAGAGAGTTTACTCCAAATCCAAAACACCTGAGGTTGAGTAGTTGCAGTAATGAGATTTCTTCACTCCCTCCATTCTGTTTCCCTGACTCCCATTTTATATTACCAGCAGACTGACCAATTCAATATTATTAAGCGACTATTCAAATTATCGAATGAGAGGCATTTATTTCTACCCAAAAAAAAAAAAAAAATGAGAGGCATTTAGAGGAGGAAGTATCGTAAGAGGTGATGCAGTGGAAGTGTCATAGACTCGTAGTGGGTGACGCACACAGGAATCCTTTTCTTTAACATTTTTTTCCATCTTTCCCGCAGCCAATCCTATGATCAGATTGCTGATGTATGATGCTATGTCATTACATCGGATATGATGTCCCTATCGCCCTTTCTGGTTTTGGAAATTTTCAAGGTGCAGTTAGTCTCTGCTAGTAATTAATAATATCGTAGTCAAAACTAAGAAAAAAAAAATGCCAAACAAAATTTGTCAGGCAACTTGAAATTGTGTAGAATGGAAAGTTCAAAACCTAGGAAAGAAAGAAAATCCATGAGAAATTGAAGGAGATCCAAGAAAGAAACTCAAAAGGAGAGCACGAGCAGAGAGGAAGAGGAGAATCTGAGAGAAATTAAAGAGATTTTCATTTTTAAATTGTAAAATATGAGAGGCTCAATTAAAAAAAGCTGGGTATTTCTTCTGTATTTTGTTGTGACCTGGAAATCATATTGTTTTTGGCTAGATGGGCTCTTAAAATTTGGAAAAAAAATGTTGCGGATGGTAGGGGATTGAGCTTGTCAATTGTCATTGCAGTATGTTGTTCTGATGCTTTTCATCAAGACGGGCACATTTTCACTCCTAAGGAGATAAATAATGGTCGGGGTATCGTTTGGTTTGCTGTTATCTCTACTTTTTAGATTTTTTCTAATGACACGGCGTTCAAAGAAATTGAATTCAATGAGAATAGAATGTTTGATATTATTCAGGTGTCAAATTGGTTGATAAAATCAGTGAATTGAGTGAAAGCAAATAGGAAAATTAGGAGATATGCTATTATAGCGTTAAGATGACACTATAGCCAAAAAAACATAAGCATAACCTACAGCATTAGTTATAAATTTAAACTATGTTCATGACGAATCTAATCAATTAAGTAAAAAGGGCCATCTGTACCTAAAGATTGTCTTTAACAATCGCTGTATAGGCATAACAGGGCTACTAATGTAGAAAAAAAGTCACTATGAGTATCGAAGTTGCTGGACATTCACACCTATTAAGCCAGTTTCAAGGGGAGACCAAGGATTTTTCGGCACCAACAATCCCCAATCTATTGAATGCCATCCCACAAACTAGAGAACTCATCCTGGAGGTAGGTTATGGCCCTCACTCGTTCAAATGACAGCCACCCTTGAATTATCAACTAACGCCTTCAAAGCCCTTTCCTTGTCTACAAGAGTGGTTTTGGGCTTCCGCTTACCATGTTTGTCACTATCTTTGTTGGAGGAGTTTTCAAGATTGCGGTCTAATCTCTTCCATTGGCCACCGCCTGAGCCTCCCCTTTTCCTATTCTTACCTCTGATAGAACCAAATTATTGACTTAAAGGGATAGGGACTTCAAGCATGGTGTTCGTCCCCAAAGTATCTAGAGCACCATTTATTGGACCAGGCATAAGGTTGTCCCCTTTCTTGATCTGATCCATACCGCCTTCCTTAGGCCCCTCATCTGCATGGCTACCACCATTGTGTTCGATATTAATGGGATTGTTTTGCCCAATACTATCATCAAGTAGGTGATTAGGCCTAGAATTCACCTCAACATCCTTGTCTTTTTCATTGAATAAGAGACGAGAATTATTTGAGAAGGCCACATCAAGCTCATCAATATTATCTGGACACCATAAATTCTCTAGTTCAGCCTCTAACCAAGGGCCAAAACGTCATATCACCTTTCCCCCAATTTCTTTAAGATGAAAAGCAACCTCACAATCGTTTTCAAGGTGTCCAATGCAACCACAAACAAAACAAAAATCAGGCAACCTTTCATACTTGAGTCTCAATTTTCTGCTTTTGCGTCGATTATTTGAGAGGTCTTGAATCTTTTAAGAGGTTTATTGATTTCTATATCAATCTTAACCCGAATAGCTTTGTGGAAACCATCATCTACCTCCGACACTTTGCCTAAAGAATTACCAATCATGAGCCCAATTTTGTCTGAATGAAGGCCAATAGGGTTGTTTAAGATTTCAAGAGGCTAGCACCGCATCATGAAACCCATTAAAATTGATCCTTCTGCGGGAAAGTACCTTACTGACAAGGTAGAGCTTCCCCATATGGTCACCATGTTTCCAGGCCTCACGGAGAGGGAGAATACCGTGAGCCTTATGCAACTCATCATGGCCCCAACGTCTTTAGCTGTTGCCGCTATGCATCTTCGCGATCGATAAACCATGTACAAGGTGGGCTAATTGTGTCCCAAATGAGACTATAGTTAATGGGTGATGGGAATTGAAATAGAAGAAGGGGGCCAAAGCCTAAAGGGGGGAGAGAGGCTCCGAAATCGGAAAGTAATCCCTAGGGAGGTGCCCATTGCCCCAAACCCTAAAGAGAAAATTATTATATTCTTAATTATATATGAACTGTAGTATTTTAATTTAATTTGTGTGCTAAGAGTATGAATTAAAGGGTTTTTTTTTATTAACTTTTTGGTATTCAGTAATTATATTGGATCCTGATTAATTCAAAATTAAGCTGCATCTAACCCTATATAAGAGGAGGTTTATCAACATCTGTTTCTCCATTCACCCAATCACAAGACTCAAGAACTTGAGATCTTGTTCAAAGTAGACTGAACTCCTTTCGCTTGAACAAATGAATCGTTGCTATGAATCAAAGGTTTTTTTTTTTTTTTTTTTTTTTTTTTTATGGAAGAATCAAAGGTACTTTTAAATTTTGGTTAGTTCTATTGTATTATTAGAATTATTATAAATTTAATTTTAAATTTTGTTTAACGGGCTTTAAAAACAAGAATTGATAATTAAGAGGAATACTAAATAATACAATTTAAAAGTGATGGAGAAAAAGAAAAACTTACTTAATTGGTCTAAGATAAGATTTTGAGTTCCTTACAATTTGAAAAAGAGAAAGAAAAACAAGGAGTAATAGAATGTTTAACGTTGGAAAAGAAAGGGATATGAAATTATAAATTGAAGAAGGCAGGACAGGCGGGAATAAGATTCCAAGAATAATTTTATTTTTTCAATTGGCGAGAAGACTTCAGTTCTTTGTCGATAACCTTAACGGAGGTTTTGGTTTTTTGTTAAATGCTATATCAGTTATGCAATGAATCAGCAACTTGAAATGTTACTGTAAAGGAATGTGTTGTATTTTTATTGGTTCGGAATATCAATGATGTGGAATACTGATGATATTCTAAACTTTCTTTTGTTTACATTTGAAAATAATAAAATATTTAAACATTTATTTAACTTGTATCTTAAAAAGGTATAAGTTAAAAGGGTGTATTAATTATATATACTTTCATAATTTATATTAAAGAATAAAAAACTTATTTTTTTTCAAAAACTAATAACACTTACAAGATTTTATTAGATAATTGATAAAACTAAATTTTTTCCGAGCCCTGTTGGTACTCTTGAGTTGATCTACTTTCCCAATCTTGTGAAAACACAGCACAATGTTCTAACAACCCAATTATGTAGATTGTGATGGAATTTAAATATTTTAATAAAAATAAAATAATATATTTTATAAATTAAATTTATTATTTATTAAAAATTCGATCAAATTAGTTGTTATACCTTAATTATTATATTTAAAGAAATATTATTTTATAATAATTATTTAATTTATTTTTATAATTAATTTACAAATAAAAATTATATGACTATAAGTCCTATCAATCTAACATATCTTTTTACTCAATAAAAATGAAGTTCCTCCAAATTCTTTCCTTCTTACCCTACTCTATCTTTTTTAGCAAAATAGAATGTTTGGAATTAAAGGACTCTATGGATAACGTGGAATTATAAAGTATTATCATAAAACTATAATAATATCATGAGGGTGATATGCTATATATATTTTTATTGTATTAATTGATTTATTTTATGTAAAAATGTGAATCACCTTAAATGAATTAAGTTTTTTACGTTTATTTTGATAATATTTTATTATTAATATTTTTTTTATAAATTTATTAATTATTATATTATTTGATCATATAATTGAAGTACAACAATGACATGATCTTATGTTGAAAAAATTTTTTCGAGGAACAATAGATTGAAAACGGTGGAAACGCAACACCATTTAACAACTCAATTAAAATGTTGAAAATGGTGTTGCCTTTCGAAAATGACAGTGATAGGTATAAATTTAATATATTATATAATATATTTATAAAAAAATTATTAATTTTTAATTTAAAATGAAAAGTAAATAAAAAAATATAATTATCACTACATCATAATTACTATTTACCTACATTGTTTTTTTAT